CCAATCTTCCCCTCCCTTTTGCTTCCCCATTCTCCCTCTCCACTTCCCCGCTCACCCCACCTGCTCTGCCATAGCACCCGCTTGCACCGTTCCCTTCACCAATCTTCCCCTCCCTTTTGCTTCCCCATTCTCCCTCTCCACTTCCCCGCTCACCCCATCCGCTCTGCCATAGCACCCGCTTGCACCGTTCCCTTCCCCAACCTTCCCCTCCCTTTTGCTTCCCCATTCTCCCTCTCCACTTCCCCGCTCACCCCATCCGCTCTGCCATAGCACCCGCTTGCACCGTTCCCTTCCCCAACCTTCCCCTCCCTTTTGCTTCCCCATTCTCCCTCTCCACTTCCCCGCTCACCCCATCCGCTCTGCCATAGCACCCGCTTGCACCGTTCCCTTCCCCAACCTTCCCCTCCCTTTTGCTTCCCCATTCTCCCTCTCCACTTCCCCGCTCACCCCATCCGCTCTGCCATAGCACCCGCTTGCACCGTTCCCTTCCCCAATCTTCCCCTCCCCGTTTCTTCCGCATTTTCCTTTACCATTTCCCCGCTCATCCCATCCGCTCTGCCATAGCACCCCCTTGCACCGCTCCCTTCCTCAGTCTTCCCCTCCCCCTTGCTTCCCCATTCTCCCTCTCCACTTCCCCGCTCACCCCATCCGCTCTGCCATAGCACCCGCTTGCACCGTTCCCTTCCCCAATCTTCCCCTCCCTTTTGCTTCCCCATTCTCCCTCTCCACTTCCCCGCTCACCCCATCCGCTCTGCCATAGCACCCGCTTGCACCGTTCCCTTCCCCAATCTTCCCCTCCCTTTTGCTTCCCCATTCTCCCTCTCCACTTCCCCGCTCACCCCATCCGCTCTGCCATAGCACCCGCTTGCACCGTTCCCTTCCCCAATCTTCCCCTCCCTTTTGCTTCCCCATTCTCCCTCTCCACTTCCCCGCTCACCCCATCCGCTCTCATCCCTGCTCATGCCACCCTCAGCCACAGAGCTCCCCTGTCTTCTGCCACAGCCTCACTCCTTCACACACCACATTCCCTTCCCTCTGCTTCTCTCTTCCTCATTCTCCCTCGTCACCTTCCCCCTCTTCTACCACATCTGGACCCCCTCCTCCTTCCTCTACTCTACTGCTTCCTTAATTTGTACTGCTCCTCTTGCCCCACCCTCTTCTGTTCCCTCCTTGCCTCCTCCCTTCACCCCCACTACTGCCCTCTCTCTCTAGGTACATTTCTCCTGCCCCTCCCCATGCCCATCTGCCCTCCCCAGCAGATTGGAAGGCAGCACTTATCTGACTGATGTGCCCTTTTGCAGATTACTCCAAGGGGTTCGGTGGTCGCTATGGGGTGGAGAAGGACAAGTTGGACAAGGCAGCCGTGGGGTTCGAGTACAAGGGTCAGACGGAAAAGCACGAGTCACAGAAAGGTTAGGCCTGTGGCGAACTGTATTCTCGTGGCATGGCTACCACGTGTCTGGCCTTTCCCACCCAAAAAATATGGTGGGAAGGGGCAAGGAGTGCTTGAGGGGCACTGCCCACAGAAGTGTCCTGCTGAGAAGCCAGCACGTTGCTGGAGAGCCCCCTCTGAGCCAACGCAGGGCCCAACACTGCAATAGGCTTCATGGCAGAATGAGCCCCGTGGATGTTCCATACCCAGGCAGTGCAGCCAGCACCTTGTGGGGTGAAGAGGTCAGCAGGCCGGTGAGGATGGCCTCATTGGCAGTGGAAGGGATGGGAGGTAGCACTGAGTGAGGGGGAGGGGGCAAATTCCCTCTCTGTCAGCCAGGAAGGGGTGGAACAGTGGTGGTTAGCAGGCTGTGTCTATGGCCCATGTCTCTGGGGGTATGTCTACACTACCCTCCTAGTTCGAACTAGCGGGGTAATGTAGGCATACCGCACTTGCAAATGAAGCCCGGGATTTGAATTTCCCGGGCTTCATTTCCATAAGCGGGGACGCGCGGCACGGGGTTCGAACGAGCCGGGATTTAAAAATGGCGGCGCCCGGCTTATGCAAATGAAGCCCGGGAAATTCAAATCCCGGGCTTCATTTGCAAGTGCGGTATGCCTACATTACCCTCCTCGTTCGAACTAGGAGGGTAGTGTAGACATACCCTGGGAGTCTGGATTAGACCCCCTTATGTAGGGATCTTAAGATTGAATAAAGATGGAGAACAAATTCCCTCTGGGCCTGGGTGTGACAGGTTCCCTTCAGGGTGGCATCTGAAACTGGGATACCTTGAAGTCCTTGGAATAACCAGCTTGGGCTTCCTTCCTCTGTGCTGCTATAACAAGCTGCAGATCCACTCCTGGTCCTATGCTTCCACTAGCATTCACATAGCCAGGGCCACACAGCTGCAATGACATGCAGGGTCTCTGACCAGCCACTGCATGAATCATAGAACCATAGAGCTGCAAGAGACCTCAGGAGGTCATCAAGTCCAGCCCCCTGCTCTAGGCAGGACCAATCCCAACTAAATCAACCCGGCCAGGGCTTTGTCAAGCCGAGACTTAAACACCTCTAGGGATGGAGGAGATTCCACCCCCTCCCTAGGTAACCCATCCCAGGGCTTCCCCACCCTCCTAGTGAAATAGTTTTTCCTAATTTCCAACCTAGACCTCCCCCACAGTAACTTGAGACCATTGCTCCTTGTTCTGCCATCCGTCACTACTGTGAACAGCCTCTCTCCATCCTCTTTGGAACCTCCCTTCTTTTCTGCAGACTAAACAAACCCAAAAACCTCAGCCTCTCCTCATCAGTCATGTGCTCCAGCCCCCTAATCATTTTGGTCACCCTCCGCTGAACCCTCTCCAATGCGTCCACATCCTTTCTGTAGTGGGGGCTCCAGAACTGGACACAATACTCCAGATGTGGCCTCACCAGAGCCGAATAAAAGGGAATAATCACTTCTCTGGATCAGCCAGCAATACTCCTCCTAATGCAACCAAACATGCCATTAGTCTTCTTGGCTACAAGGGCACACTGACTCATATCCAGCATCTCATCCACTGTAACCCCCAGATCCTTTTCTGCAGAACTGCTACTTAACCAGTCCTCTAATCTGTCTAGGTCACTCTGGACCCATCCCTTCCCTCCAGCATATCTATCTCTCCCCCTAGCTTAGTGTCATCTGCAAATTTGCTGAGGATGCAATCCATCCCCTCATCCAGGTCATTAATAAAGATGTTGAACAAAACTGGTCCTAGAACAGATCCTGGGGGCACTCCGTTAGAAACCGACCGCCAATCAGACATTGAGCCATTGATCACTACCCATTGGGCCCGACAGTCTAGCCAGCTTTCTATCCATCTTACAGTCCATTTATCCAATCCATACTCTCTTAACTTGCTGGCAGGAATATTGTGGGAGACTGTATCAAAAATTTTGCTTAAGTCAAGGTATGTCATATCCACCGACTTTCCCATATCCACAGAGCCAGTTACCTCATCATAGAAGCTAATCAGATCGGTCAGGTATGACATGCCCTTCATGAATCCATGTTGACTATTCCTGATCACTTTCCCCTCTTTCAAGTGCCTCAAAATGCCTTCCTTGAGGATCCACTCCATGATTTTTCCGGGGACTGAGGTAAGGCTGACTGGTCTGTAGTTCCCTGAATTGTCCTTCTTCCCTTTTTTAAAGATGGGCTCTACATTTGCCTTTTCCCAATCATCCGGGATCTCTCCTGATCTCCACGAGTTTTCAAAGATAATGGCCAAAGACTCTGCAATTATATTTGCCAGCTCCCTCAGATCCCTCAGATGCCTTAAATCCGGACCCATGGATTTGTGTATGTTTAGCTTTTCTAAATAGTTCCTAACCTGTTCTTTCCCCATCAAGAGCTGTCCACCTCCTTCCCATACTACACTGCCTAGTGCATTAGTCTGGGAGCTGACTTTGACCATGAAGACGGAGGCAAAGAAAGCATTGAGTACTTCAGCTTTTCCCACATCATCTCTTACTAGGTTACTTCCCTTCTCCAGTAAGGGCTCCGTTCCCTCTCTGATATCTCTCTTATTGCTAACATGCCTGTAGAAACTTTTCTTGTTACCCTTCACATCCCTTGCTAGCTGCAATTCCAATTGCGCTTTTGCCTTCCTGATAACTCCCTGCATTCTCAAGCAATATATTTATACTCCTCCCTAGTCATCTGGTCAAGTTTCCACTTCTTGTACGCTTCCTTTTTGTGTTTAAGCTCACCAAGGATTTCCCCGATAAGCCAATCTGGTCGACTACCATTTTTGCTTTTCTTACTGTGCATCGGGATGGTTTCTTCCTGTGCCTTTAATAAGGCTTCTTTAAAATATTGCCAGCTCTCCTGGACTCCTTTCCCATTCATGTAAGCATCCCAGGGAATCCTGCCCATCAGTTTTCTGAGGGAGTCAAAGTCTGCTTTTCTGAAGTCCAGTGTGAGTATTTTGCTACTCTCCTTTCTTCCTTTGGTCAGGATCCTGAAATCTACCATCTGATGATCACTGCTTCCCAGATTGTCATCTGCCTCTACTTCCCCTCCCTGTTTGTGAGCAGCAAGTCAAGCTGCTCATGGCCCCTGGTCAGTTCCTTCAGCACTTGTACCAAGAAGTTATCCCCAACATTCTCCAAAAACTTCCTGGATTGTCTGTGTACTGCTGTATTGGTCTCCCAACAGATGTCAGGATGATTAAAGTCCCCTATGAAAACTAGGGCCTGTGATCTGGAAGCTTCTCTCTGTTGTCTGAAGAAAGCCTCATCTACCTCATCCACCTGATCCGGTGGTCTATAGCAGACCCCAACCACAACATCACCCCTGTTGCTGTCACCTCTAAACTTATCCCATAGACTCTCAACAGGCTTTTCTCCCTCTATGTACTGGAGGTCTGAGCAATCATACTTCTCTCTTACATACAATGCAACTCCTCCTCCTTTTCTCCCCCGCCTGTTCTTCCTGAACAGTTTATACCCTTCCATGACAGTGCCCCAGTCGTGCGAGTCATCCCACCAAGTCTCCATTATTCCAATCAAATCATAGTTCTTTCCTCAGGGCTTTGGTCATCATCCCCCAACTAACCTAGTTTAAAGTGCTCCTCACTAGGTTTGCAAGCCTTCCTGTGAAGTTGCTCTTTCCTCTCTTGGGGTATGTCTACACTACCACCCTAGTTCAAACTAGAGTGGTAATGTAGGCAACCGGAGTTGCAAATGAAGCCCGGGATCTGAATTTCCTGGGCTTCATTTGCATCTTGCTGGGTGCCGCCATTTTTAAATGTCCGCTAGTGCGGACTCCATGCCGCGCGGCTACACGCGGCACGGAGTCCGCACTAGCGGACATTTAAAAATGGCGGCGCTCAGCAAGATGCAAATGAAGCCCGGGAAATTCAGATCCCGGGCTTCATTTGCAACTCTGGTTGCCTACATTACCACCCTAGTTTGAACTAGGGTGGTAGTGTAGACATACCCTAGGTTAGGTAGATCCCATCTCTTCCTAACAATCCTTGTGCCCGGAACAGAGTCCCATGGTTGAAGAAACCAAAGCCCTCTCTCCAACACCACCTGCTCAACCAAGCATTTACTTCCTCAGTTCGACGATCCCTACTTGGACCTTTTCCTTCAACAGGGCAGATGGACGAGAACACCACTTGCAGTTCAAATTCCTTGATCCTTCTTCCCAGTGCTACATAATCTGCAGTGACCCATTCAAGGTCATTCCTGGCCGTATCTTCAGTTCCCCAACAATAGAGAGGCTACAGCCAAGATAACACCCAGCTTCCCAGACCAGCACCTCCCTCTGGAGAATAAGCCCCAAAAGATACCATGTTGTTGTACAGTATAAGCTCCCCTTCCTTCAATGTGGAGAGGAAACGCCACAACCTTTCCCTTTGTGCAGCTCCATCCTCACCCAGCCTTTCTGCCCAAAGTGGTCTTCCATTTTCATGTGAATCAGGGCATGTTTCTGCCTGTGTTCTTCCTTAAACGGCATGTGATGCTCGAGAGTGAGTCCTGCACTCCATGGATGTCATGAGGGCTTTAGCCCTCTACACTGAATACATCAAACCATTTTGTAAATCACAACTTTTTATTGCTATTGTGCAATGGATATGTGGGCTGCCAATCTTGTCCCACCATTTCTCTTCCTGGAGCACGTCCTGCATCAGGACATGCTATGACCTGGCCAAACTCCCAGCTGTAGTCCTGATGGCTCATTTCACAAGGGCACAATCTTCCTTGGGTGCATTCCTCATGAGGAGAGGCTGAAGGATTTGGGTTTGTTTAGTCTGCAGAAGAGAAGAGTGAGGGGGGATTTGATAGTAGCCTTCAACTTCCTGAAGAGAGGTTCCAAAGAGGATGGAGAGAGGCTGTTCTCAGTCGAGAGCAATGGTCTCAAGTTACAGTGGGGAAGGTCTAGGTTGGATATTAGGAAAAACTATTTCACTAGGCAGGTGGTGAAGCACTGGAATGGATTATCTGGGGGGGAGTGGAATCTCCATCTCTAAAGGTTTTTAAGTCTCACTTTGACAAAGCCCTGGCTGAGTTGATTTAGTTGGGATTGGTCCTGCTTTTGGTAGAGGGCTGGACTTGATGACCTTCTGAGGTCTCTTCCAGCCCTATGATTCTATGATCCATCACAGCTGAGCACAACCTCTCTCTATCCTCCCTTTAGGAAGTTGAAGGCTGCTATCAAATCCCCCCTCACTCTTCTCTTCTGCAGACTAAATATGTCCAAATCCCTCAGCCTCTGCTCGTAGGTCATGTGCTCCAGCCCCCTAATCATTTTGGTTGTCCTCTGCTGGACCCTCTCCAATGTGTCCACATCTTTTCGGTGGAATTGGATGCAGTATTCCAGATCTGGCATCACTAGTGCCGAATAAAGGGGAATACCTAGTCACTATTCACAACTTCAGATACAAAAATAATACATGCATCCAAACAAGATAATCATATTCGGAAAATCATAACTTTTCCAATGACACCTTACATGACCCCTCTAATACAAACTGCACTATTACTATGTCATAATAATATCACTATAAATAATAGGGGGTGTAGTGTCACACCGAGGGCCTGACAGAGAGGCAGATCATTGTAGTAACAGCATGTATGTGGACTGAGAGACTGCCTCTTGCCTTACATGCAAGATGGGGAGTGGGGGGAGTGTCTCTCTGGAAGAGGGCAGGGCTGTTGATGAGGGAGCGATGTCTAAGGGGATAATCCAGCCTTCAATAAGCCATCTTACTCTCCACACATACCCCAGGTGAGGGGCATGGTGAGCTGGAGAAGGCTTTTATTGCCCACAAGGCAATGAGGAAAAGATCACGTAACTTGGCCCCCATGATCCTTATCCCACCCTCCCATCCGCACACTGTAAGCCTTGTCCAATTCCCACCACTGTCAGCATCCCATAAGCCCTACCTCAAACTCCCCGGCCCCTCCATCCTCTGGTACAGAGTTGCCTTCATAAGTTATCTGAGCCTGAATTAATTGACTGTCTCTGTCTCTGTGTTGTTGTCCCCCACACCTATGTTCTGGCTCCCCCATGGCTGCAGACTATGCTGTGGGCTTTGGTGGGAAGTTTGGAGTGCAGAAGGACCGTCAAGACAAATGTGCCCTTGGCTGGGAGCATCAGGAAGAGTTGAACCGTCATGAGTCCCAGACAGGTGTGTGCAGTTGCCAGCTTGGGGGAGGCATGTTTGTTTGGGCCAACCTATGGTGCTTTTGGCTCAGCTAAATTTCAGGGCTGATGGGGCTGCACTGTGATCCAGATGTGGGAATGCTGAGAACTGAAACACAACGCTGGGAATTGGAGGGATTCAGGTGCCTGGAGCAGTGGGGGTCACGGAATAAGCCACACAAGATGTGGGCCACCTGGAGCAATGTGTGTTGGAGGGTAGAGCACAGGAAGTGCTCAAGAGTGTTGGTGGGGTGCCCAGCTCAGTAGGGACTGAGCTATGGTGAGGGTGTCCCAATCACTGGGGGATGGGCTCGAGGGAGGGCACCTGGATTAATGCCACATTGCACAGATGGTGAATTCATTCTGTGGGACTCTATAATCTTCATCCAAGAATATTAAAGGAACTGGCACAAGAACTTGCAAGTCCATTAGCAAAAATTTTTAATAAATCTCTAAACTCAGGGGTTGTACCATTTGACTGGACAATTGCTAATATCATTCCGATTTTTAAGAAAGGGAAAAAAAGCGACCCGGGTAACTATAGGCCTGTTAGTTTGACTTCTGTAGTATGTAAGATCTTGGAAAAAATTTTGAAGGAGAAAGTAGTTAGAGACATTGAGGCTAATGGCAATTGGGACAAATTACAACATGGTTTTACAAAAGGTAGATCGTGCCAAACCAACCTGATCTCCTTTTTTGAGAAAGTAACAGATTTTTTAGATAAAAGAAATGCAGTGGATCTAATCTACCTCGACTTTAGTAAGGCATTTGATACAGTACCACATGGGGAATTATTGGTTAAATTGGAAAAGATAGGGATTAATAAGAAAGTTGAGAGGTGGATAAGCAACTGGTTAAAGGGGAGACTACAGCGGGTCATACTGAAAGGTGAACTGTCAGGTTGGAGGAAGGTTACTAGTGGAGTTCCTCAGGGATTGGGGCCAATTTTATTTAATCTTTTTATTGCTGATCTTGGCACCAAAAGTGGAAGTGTTCTAATAAAATTTGCGGATGACAAAGTTGGGAGCTATTGCCAATTCAGAAAAGGATCGGGATATCATACAGGAAGATCTGGATGATCTTGTAAATTGGAGTGATAGCAATAGGATGAAATTTAATAGTGAGAAGTGTAAGGTTATGCATTTAGGGATTAATAACAAGAATTTTAGTTATAAGCTGGGGACACATCAGTTGGAAGTAACGGAGGAGGAGAAGGACCTCGGAGTCCTGGTTGATCACAGGA